CTCCCTTCTCTCTACAAATATGAACATCAATGAATAAAAGAGATCCATTTGAGCTACTTCTTGTCTACTCTATATTGTTCATACATTTTACATACACCGTACATACGCGGGAATTACCCGTATCACATATACTCATATTTTGTAATGTGGCATAAAAAAAAATATAATTTTCGCACAAAATTGGAGTAAGATTCAAACCCACAATATCTTGTCTAAAGGATGAGGACTACACCACCAAGCTACACATTAATCTAGTTATATGATAGTTAAAATTTGTAATAATAGTAAATCTTTTGCACATAGGCACCAAGTTCACCACCACCAAGCTGTGAAGCAAAACGGATCAATTTTTTTCCTTTTTTTATGCCACATCACACAATCTGGCGTGGCAATTCGAATGTCACGTGGACAAACTTAACGAAAAAAATTAATGGTGTTAAGTATTGTCCTTACTTGTTTTAAATCTTAAAGTACAGGAACTAAATTGAACAAAATAAAAGTACATCGACTAAATTGAACAAAATGCTACAGTACAGGGACCTAGTAGGTACTTTGTCCTAGAAACTTCTGGTAACTTTTATAATCATTATTCTCATAATGATAACAATAATTGAAAAAGGCTTGATTCAAGCCCGGTCTTAAGGAAAGAGTGCTCACTTGACTCTTGCAAAAACCCAATACCAAACACTAGTCAATAGGATTAGGATTTTTCTACCAACGGATCCAACAATATATACACACACAGTGTTAGATATTAGGATTAGGAATTAGATTATATATAGTGTTAGATATTAGGATTACGAATTAGATTATATAATATTAGGATTACGAATTAGTTTATATATACTGTTAGATATTAGGATTAGAATTATATATATACTGTGTTAGATAATTATATATATATATATATATATATATATATATATATATATATATATATATATATATATATATATATATAATTTTCGGGTTCGGGGACGGGTATCCCCGTCCCCGATCCCCGATATTTTTCCCCGTCCCCGATCTCCGATATTTTTTCCCCGTCTCCGTCCCTATCCCATACGGGGACGGGGATCCCGGACGGGGACGGGACACATTGTCATCCCTAATAATAATTTAAAAATCAAAGGATTTGATCAATTTAAAAGTTTAAGACTAAGCATAGCAAAATCAGTATATTCGAAGAACTTCAAATTGTAGTAACTCTTATTGCCAAAAATCCCCTTCTATGTTCTCTTAAACCATAGTAATGAAGGAGACTATAGAAAGTTTTTGTAACTTTCATAATCATTATTCTCATAATGATAACAATAATTTAAATTCAATATTTAATTAAATATTTGTAAAATTGATTAAGAATTTATTATATTAATTAATAGATATAATATGTTTTATCAGATCATCACAAAAAAAAAAAAAAAAAAAAAAAAAAAAAAAAAAAAAAACTTATGAGAGAATATCTTCTAATGCCTGAATTGTTCAAGGAACATATTATGATGTCTCATTCCTTCTGGAAACGTCTTTCGATTTTCCAATCCTTTCCTTCGAGGAACATTGTTTTTCTTCATTTTCTTACTTCTCAATTTCGTTACTTCATTAGGCAACCCAATACTCAAACAGGTTTTTTTTTTTTTTGCCAAGTGGGATATGCAATTGTTTATCCATGGACCCGGGTTGAAAACGATGCCTTCACCAATTCCATGCATGTGTATTAGCTCTCTTCCTCTCATTTTTTGGGTGACCGAGGAAACCCTACTATTCTTCTTCATCATCTTTTTTTATATGAGTTCGGTGTTTACCATTAATTAATGGTCATGGGGATAAAAATGCAAGTTGATTTGGCTAGAGGATTTTTTTTTTGAAAACCAAAAGCTATGGCGTATTTTAATTAATGAAAGGAGCCAAACAATCAGGGGGACATAGTCCCAGTACATAGAGTGTTCCTGATTAAAAGCTAACATAGCTAAAGTATGAGCACTAACATTAACTAATCTAGAAATAATATTCAAAGAGCAATAAGAAAAAAGGGCCATAGTTGCTTGGCATTGATCCTCCACCACCCCTACATAGGATAGGATGGTCGTAGGACTAGTCAGTAAATGATGTTGAAGCTTTGCGCAATCAATCAACAAGTCAACATCCAATTCATTACGCTCTTTAAGCTATAATAGCGTTTCCTTGCATGCAAGAGCCTCTGCCATAAGGGGTGAGAAGCAACTAACCTGGTAGTTTGCCATTTGTTGCCGTCTTGAAAGAGCCGTCCGAGTGAAACAGTACAATACCATAAGTTGCATCGCCCGAGTGCGGGCGATATCCTCCATCGAAGAAGCAACGTGGGCGGCCTTGCGGGAGTGGTGCAGCCGGCAGCATGGTGTGGGATCCGCCAGGGCAGTGCGCCTGGGCATACGCAGTCCTGGCAGCCGCGGCTCGGTTCCACGTGGCGGGTGGTCGCGGCAAAGCTCGTCTCCATACAGCATCGTTTCGGGCATTCCACAAGTGGTAAAGACCCCAACCGTCATGGCAAACTGCTCCGATCCTCTGTTAAGTTGGTCATAGCACCCATGAGCCATTCTGGAAAAGTAGTAGCAACAATATTTGTAACAGGCAAACCCAAAATATTCCATACTATTTTAGAATAGTCACAAGTAGTAAATGTATGCATAACATGTTCATGAGATATATCACACATAGGGCATGTTGGATCCACTTCCACTCTTTTTATAATCCGGTTGTTTGTGGTAGGGAGAATATCACACAAAGCTCTCCACAAGAAAGTTTTCCATTTGGGGAGAACTTTCAACTTCCACAATGTAATCCATTTATCAAAAGCACCAGGACTATGCACATAATCTCCAACAATCTGCCTATATGCATTCTTAACAGAATACATTCCCCTTGGATAATATGACACAAGATATGAAAAAGTAATATGAAAATAACAAGTAGTTGCTTTGAGTGAGTGAATTTAGATTTTTTTTTAATTAGAAGATAATATTGTTGGTGATAATGAACCAAAAATCGATTTAATATCGTAAAATAATATTTATATATACACACACGAAGTATATAAAATATTATTCGATATATTATATCCGAAATATATATATATACACACAAATATATATATAAATCAGACCGTCATGGTTATATGCATGAATATCTACGGAAAAGATATGTACATATCAACCAAATGGAATTTATAATACACAGATTATAATTCCAACCAAACTATAACATTATAGGAGGATTTTTGCTTAGAAGCATAATCCAAAATCGAAAGAAGGAAAGATTGGCTCGTGTTTGGATAAGGGTTTTTAGCGTGAGTCAAGAGACCACTCTTTCCTTAAAACCTTATTTGCCACCTCCCAAAAGTGCTAGGAGCGCCGTGGCCTAGGTTTCCCAGGATAAAACGCGCTACGGTTCGACGTTTGAGCACCCAAACGAACGAACCCGGCGAACTAGAGCAAAGCCTTGAACACAGTTCGGCTTAAGAAAGGAGTAGAAGCAGAGTTTTTGAGGAGAGAAAACACTTCTTGTGTTGTGTGTTCTTGTCACTATTTCCTTAGAAAAAAAAATTCTGCTGCACTCTACCCCTTCTTATATAGGGAGTGAGGAGTGAATAGCCTTTATTATAGCATTTAGGGGCACCCTTACAACTTCCGTAACAGCAACCATTAACATGGGTGTTAATTCAAAAATTAAAATTGGATTTAATTCAAAAAATTAATCCCATAACAGCTGAATTAAATCCCAACAGATTCGTGTATACTGGCCGAAACTTGCAATTGCAAAGTTTCGGCCAAGCTGGCCGAAATTAGCAATTGCAAATTGCAATGCTTGGCCGAAATTAGCAATTGCAAATTGCAATTAACTTACAGTTTCAATAGTTTCGGCCAAGTGGCCGAAACTAACACATTGTTGGAAAATGAACACTGAAGTTTTGGGATTTGATTTACACCCCCTACGCGTGAGAGAGAGCCTCTATACTATACAATTCAATAAGTTTAATAAGAGCTCATATATAAATAGTGGGGCAAATCCTCTTCCCAAACCAATGTGGGACAAAAGCTTACTTTTTCCCTTCATTTTCCAACTCAAATGGGTCTACTTTGAGAATCAATATCTCATTCACCCATTATCCGTTTTGAGCGTACAATATATCAATCTCTTCGTCTCACTACGAAGAACCCGAATCCACTTTGACCCGACCCAAATCGGAAGTGGACCCCACTGATAATTGTACCACAAAATAGCCACTTAATATGCCATTTTATGTCATTTCAAGCTATTTTTTTCCAACAAATATTTAATATTTTTATTAATTTATATTTTGAAAACTAAGCATGTGTACGTAATAAAATAAAATAGGAAAAATTACACTTTTTGTCCCTAAGTTATTATAGAATAATTGTAAAATCCGTTTCTGAGTGTTGATTATGTTCACTTTTCGTCCCTGAGTTATACTAAAATTGCAGATGTTGTCCTTAATATTTTATTAGTAAAGGGACAAAATGTAATGATAACTTAAAGGACAAAAAAAAAAATGTAATTTTTCCAAATAAATGTATTTGAACTTTTTCTTTTGAATGACAAAGAAAATTTCTAAAATGTCAATAGACGTATAAGCATCAAACTTAGGTGACTGATGACTGAACAGACAATGTCAAATGCCGATGTAAATTAAAACACAAGAAATATGCCACTTACTTTTAACATAATCTCACACTATAGCTGTCCAGGATTGAACATTAATCTCTTAATTCTCTTCCCCTAAATACTACCTACCTACTGAACCAGTGAGCTAAGTCCTAGGCTCCTAGAGGACAAACTTAAAACCTCATCATTATTAACTCAACAATATGACTAAAGTTGCCTTAATATATTTGAACTTTTTAAGAAGTATAAAACGTGTTAGAAATTCACTAGGGTCCAAAAAATGTCTTAACTTAATTATTTTTGGTGGGTGGTTTGGGGAAGTCATGTTTATTACGCATTTACGCACATGCTTTAACAAGGCGACGGATAGGGATGCAGAGTAAAAATATCAAGGCGCCAATATTCTATAATATAGACTTGCTGGAAATTTGTCGCCATTGTTAGCTAGCTTCTGGGGAAGTCGAGAGCTCAAAGTGTATCAAGGGCACAGACATCGTACCTTATCGGCCATGGGTTTCAATGAAGAGGATAAGGTTGATAGTGCTAAGATGCCTCTGTTGCAGCAACATCTGTGCTCTTCTCCTTCATCATCATCGTCGCCGCCGTCAACTCCACCAACTCAAACTATGAAGCTCCCCCACAAAAGAACTGGTAGTTTTTCTGAAATTTACTTTATTAAAGAAAGAACTAACCTTTTTCATCAAACACAAATGGGAGGCAACGGGCCAATCCTTTTTTTTTTTTTTAATTCCAATATTTTTGCTAAATTTAGCAATCACTCGCAAAATTTTGACATGGGTTGATTTGATATCAAATGAAGCAATTGATCCATTTCAACTAAAAGCCAAATAGTTGGACTGCACATTTATGTTTATAATGATAATCCTTTAGTATGTGAAATAGCAATTTGGCTGTCAGCATGAACTGAAATTGCTCCTATGTGATGCTCAGTTGAAGTACTTTACCTGCATGTTTTTTCAGTTGTAATCCCATACAGAACTATAAAGGAAATCAGTTCTCTATAACAGTTTGAAAATTCAAATTTTAGAATTTAGAATTCTGCTTTCATCTTGGAAATGGGGCTGCTGCGTGTGCTGTTGAATTCTGATCTATTTTTAGCATAATCAAGTTTGATTTTTGTTTTTTTCTGGAAAATAATGTATCCTCCCACTGAAAACTCAGGAAACGAATGGACTGCTTTGGCACATTTAATCACAGCAGCTATAGGCTCAGGTGTGCTATCATTAGCTTGGAGCGTGGCACAACTTGGATGGATTGCGGGTCCATTGTCCATGCTGTGCTTCGCTTGTGTATCACTTACTTCTGCATTACTTCTCTGCAACTGCCACAAATCCACTGACCCAGAGTGTGGTACCATCCGCCATGGCTCTTACCTTGTTGCAGTTCAGTCAATTTTAGGTGAGCAATAAGCATGATGAGACTTTAGGCCTTTGGCAGCTCTTTCTGGTATTATTGCTTCTCTAAAACATTTCTGGATCAGGATACCACTAATTCACAATTTTTCTTCTTTCGAAGTGAACATAAATACCCGATGCCCTAAGTTCATTGTCATGCCAATCTCTGAAAGTGTTTTGTTACAAAATACAAGGATGAACCCTCAAACATGTTGGTAAAGTTTACTGCATATGCAGTGCAACAGAACTTAAACCATTTGCCAAAAGGATGACTTAACATGCTTTTCTCCGTGTGATCAGGAAAGAAAAATGCTTGGTTCTGTGCCATCATTGTTCAAATTTACTTCATCAAGGTTGCAATTGTGTATACAATCACCACTGCTAGTAGTATCGGGTATGCCAAAAGTTATGTGCTGTTCCTTTACAATATTTTGCAGCTACTGGATGCTGACTATTTAGGACGTGCGAATTGCTTTTCCATGTAATCTCATTCATCTAGCAACAAGTTTAGCATTCAAAACAATCGGCTGCTAGTCCTAGATAAACCCGTACTTTGTGCTTTTGAAATGCTGGCTTCGTTTTCTTTGTTTTGGATAATTTTAGTGATGTATTCATCTTTTTAGTGCAGAGCAATTCTCAAGTCTAACTGCTATCACTATGAAGGGCATGATGCTGCTTGTAGCTATTCAACTACAATACATATGGTTATATTTGGAGCGGTTCAAGTTCTAGTGTCTCAGGTTCGTGATTTTCAGGACACAAAGTGGCTCTCCGTAGTTGCAGCAATCATGTCTTTCACATATTCATTTATTGGAGCAGGACTAGGCTTAGCAAAAATAATTGGTAGGTATTCATTACCAAATCATCTTCGTTATAATATCGACAATAATTTCCTTGCCAGATTTTAAAATACACTTAAAAGTTACACATTGTGAATTATAATTTTCAGAGAATGGAGAAATAAAGGGTAGCATTACTGGATTGCCTTCTGATAATGCGGTTGAGAAAGTATGGTCAGTTGCACAAGCGCTTGGAGACATTGCCTTTGCTTTCCCATTCTCTCTTGTTTTCTTAAACATACAGGTGCACCAATTTTGCTATCATGGAGAATTCAACATTTTCTCTTGAACAAGAATAACCGATAGTGAAATGTTTAATTAATTATATGATTGGAAAAACATCGAATATGTGAAGGATACATTGAAGGAAACTCCTCCAGAAAAGGTGACCATGAAAAAAGCGTCAACAATAGCGGTCTGCATTACGACTTTCTTCTACCTATGTTGTGGAGGGTTTGGTTATGCAGCCTTTGGCACCAACACACCAGGGAACCTTTTGACAGGATTTGGTTTCTATGAGCCATACTGGCTAGTTGATATCGCAAATGCAGCTGTCATTGTTCATCTTGTTGGAGCATATCAGGTAAAGAGGGAGGGTGCTGGACTTGGCTCTTGCTAACCTGTTACCTGGCTCTGATATTACTAACGCTTACCAATACGCCAAAATCTATAGTTAGTAGCATAGACGCAATTTTATTTCCTTGCTATAATCTCCTTCTTTGGCTCCTTACTCTATGCTTGTGTCTTGATAAATCTTTTATGATGATTATGATATGATCTTGATGTTGATGAGATGATCTTATGTGTTGATCTTGATAATCTTGATGATTATAAGAGGATGTTGATAATTGTGTGTTGATTCTTGATAAATCTCGATGTTCTTGATTTTAAAGATAAAGCATGATTTTGTGATTTAAATATGATTAGAGCCCTAGGTTGAATCGTGAATTTCGTATTGTGATATTCTTGGTATATTTGGGTGGGAATTCGCACGTTCGGGTGTTGATTGTGTTTAGAAGTCATGTTAGGATATGTTCAATGTGATTCTTGATTTTGATCCGTTATTTGACTACGTGGTATTGTCGTTTGCGTTTAAAAGTGTCTAAAACATGGTTTCGGGCTCCACAAAAGATTCCGGGACTCAAGTATTGAAAAAAAGTCAGTGGGGGTAGGGGAACCCGCCACCTACCCGCTGCCCCTAAAGGGCGTCGCCGGCAACGGGTGCCCGGCGGGCAGTCGCTGTCATCACATTTTTGAGAGACAGAGTGCTGGACTTGACCCTTCACCGGTCTCTGTCCAACAATCCCCTAGTTGCTGGACTAGGCCCTTACCGGCCCAACAATGATTGTTTCTCTCTCACTCTCTCTTTGTGTCTCTATTTTGGTACACATATTCTTAGGTATACACCCAGCCATTTTATGCAAATGTTGAGAGCTGGCTTGGCAGGAAATTCCCAGAGAGTGAAGCTGTACACAGGGATTATGATGTGAAGCTCTTATTGTTACCAGGTTTTAGGTTGAATTTAGTGAGATTGATTTTCCGAACTGCGTATGTTGCGACAGTCACTGGAATCGCAGCGCTATTCCCCTTCTTCAACCAGGTGGTGGGAGTTGCAGGAGCACTAACCTTTTGGCCAGTTATAGTGTATTTCCCAGTGGAGATGTACCTGAAACAGAAAAGAATAGAATCCTGGACGACCATCAAGATCGTTCTTCGTACGTTCTCCTATACATGCTTGGTTGTCATCGTATTCGCCTTTGTAGGCTCTGTTAGAGGGTTGATAGTTGCCAGATTCAGCTAGAAACAACTCTCCATCACTCCCTGAATGATGATGATGATGATTAGTTTTCTTTTTCTTTTTCATTACACATGTATTATTTGCTGTTATATGGATTGAATATATGAATTTTTGGACAAAAACCTTCCCTGGCTGTTTTAGATTGCTTGTCTATTTGGGTGTTAAGACTTGCTATTTTTTATGGAGTATATATTGTAACAATGTTGAATACTAAAAATAGTAAGGGATAAAATATATTTGTAATTTGATAAAATTGAATCAATCAGGTGCACGAAAGTGACTCCAATACAGAATAATTATTGATCATGAGTTTAAATTTGACTAACAGCAATCATATTATATTGGGAAAATGGCACTTTTTCCCCCTGAATTATATACTTATAGCACTTTTTCCCCCTGAATTATTTATGTAAGCACATTAGCCACCTCAATCATTTTAAAAGTGGTGGTTTTCCCCCCTAATATATTTTATTGACATTTCTACTCTTAAAGTAAACATTTTATTTATTTTTCCTTTTCAATAAATTATTGCGTATACATAGGGATGACCACGGTTCGATTCGAATTGAACCAGACACTACAGCAATCGAATTAAAAGTTTCCGGTTATGATTCAGATCCAGAACCCAATATTTTAATTTCAATTCATTAAAATTATGAATCAAAAAAACTGGATCCTGAACCGTGAACCGGCGGTTCTAGATCCGGTTAGCGATTTTAAACCGTCTTTATTTTTAAAATTTTAATTTTTTATTTTAAAATAGTCTAAATTCAACAATAAATGTATTTTATTTTTTTCAGTTTGGACCATGAACCGGCCGTCCTGGTTCACGATTTTAATAAAATCTAAATATCGTGTTTCGATTCTAAATTGTAATTAGAATATTTCGATTTGATTTCTATAGTGTCTGTTTGGTTTGAACCAACTTGTGGTCATAATTTGTTAAAGAAAAAAATAAATGAAATATTTATTTTAAGGGTAAATATGTCCATTTAACATTTCAGGGGGAAAAACAGCCACTTAAATAATTCAGGGGGGAAAAGTGCTATATGTATATAACTTAGGGGGAAAAAGTGCCATTTTCCCTATTATATTTGTACTATATTTTTTAAAGTCATTATAATATTGCATTTAAGAGTTGTTTATTGTTATATTGAATTACATTGATCGATTGTATTATACTCCCTCCGTCCCATTTTCCATGTCTTACTTTCCTTTTTAGTTTGTCCCAAAATGTTGTCCTCTTTCCAAAATTGAACATCAACATCATTCTACTTTTCCAATTTACCCTTATGACTTTTGCTTTTATTTCCAAAAGTAAGAAAAGTGAAGGGCATAATTGGGAAATGACATAACATTTACTTTAATTCCTTAAAAAGCGTGTAAAAAGCAAATGAGACAACCATTTCGGGACGGAGGGAGTATTACATAATCATTATTTTAATCTATACTATATATAAAAACAAAATCCTGAAATTTTAACTTCCCGCCCAATTCCTAAAAAATCTCTCTTCCTAATAAAATATATTGATTTCTACTTTCCCATTCGTACAATAATTCTGCGTTAAAATTCTATTCTAATATTATAAAATAGTGTAATACAATCTATATCTATACTATATATAAAAAACAAAATCCTGAAATTTTAACTTCCCGCCCAATTTCTAAAAAATCTCTCTTCCTAATAAAATATATTGATTTCTACAATAATTCTGGGTTAAAATTTTATTGTAATATTATAAAATTGTGTAATACTATTTCTATTCTAATATATATCTATTTTATATATCAGTGTTGCAAAAATGGTGTCGCTGGCCGCAGCGAGGAAGGCCGGAATCGGCCTTCTCAGCGGCCGCCTCGCCGGCTGAACCGGCCTTTAATTTTTTAATTTTTTATTTTTAAGTTGTAAAGTGTCAAAAGTTCGACAAGGCATAACTTTTGACTCCGTTGTCCGTTTTGGACAAATATTTTTTTGAAATCGCGTATTTTTTTGAGATCTATCCACCGCAAACTGCCGTAGGCGGTTTAGCCCACCAATTTCTAAAAAAAAAAAATACTTTATTAAAGAGTTTCTAAGAAAAAACTATGAGAACCTTATGTTTTATTAATGAATTTTTAAAATTTTTAATTAAACAATTGTCCCGTGCATTATTTAATAATCTTTCTTTATAATTGGTTAAATTATTTAATTATGGTAAATTTGGGAATAATTAATGATGGTAATAGAAATCCTAGAAGAATATAGAATTGAACAATATTTAATTATTGTTATATTATTATTGTGACTCACGGAATACAAGAGTTAATGCCATTTTTGGTCCTAGACTTATTGGGGCATTGACACTTTTCATCCTCCATAATAAAAATTGCCACTTTGTAGCCACTGTTATTGATCGTTGGACAGTTTTGATCCTCCGTCAATGACGTCGTTTGTTGATCGTGAATTAGAAGGGTTTTTCTGTCTTTTGATGTTCTAATCCTTGTATTTCTCCATCCATTGGTCACTGCTACATCCATTTCTTCAAACTGAGGTTATCCGCTTCAGTCCTTTCTAACATTAAGAAACCATCTTCACCCAACTAACAATCACGAATTTCACATTTGACATCAATCCCAATAACAGTGTCTACTAAGTGGCAATTTTTATTATGGAGGATGAAAGGTGTCAATGCCTCAATAAGTCTAGGACCAAAAATGGCATTAACTCCGGAATACAATACAAGAATATTTAATTATGGTTATATTATTATTGTGCCTCACGACCATTATATACTAACAGTACTTGAAAAGAAACTAATAATAATAATAAATTGTAATAATTAATAACTATAGTCTAGGATTAAATTTGAAATTGTCAGGAAAGATAAACGACCTCTGGTGAAATTAACTCTTAAATAATTATATATCGATTTAAATATTCTTAATATATTACAACAATTCCATTCCGTGCATCGCACGGGTGAAAATACTAGTTTTAATAAAACTGAGTTAATATCACTTTTGATCTTCACTATTAATTTGACAAATTTTAATCATTAGACTTTCTTTAATTGAACCCAAAATATTTCACTTTGCAGAAGAGCAAAGTTCGATAAAATGTTCAAAAAATGAGGGATTTTAGACCGTTTCACTATATTTGATCAAATTAATAATTAAAAAATAAAATAGACGAACAACTGATAAAAGTTGTATTAATTCCTTCCTTTCAAAAAAAAATACAGTTGTATTAATTCCATTTTAAAAATAAAAATTAAAAAAAAAATAAAAAACCATCTAGATCACTAATCACTTCAGCATTAAATTATCAATCTGACCGTTGGGCTCACTAAATATGACCGTTACGAATGAGGCAATCCCCGCAGTTTAAATATGTGGAGGAAAACATTTCCATTTCCTACAACAAAGCAATCAAATCTAACAAGCTCTCTCATATCTCACGCTTACCATTTTACTTGCTCTTCCATTTAAGTTTTAGTTTTAAATTTTTTGAAGTTTTAGTTTTAAATTTTCAGCTTCCTTCCAATAAGAACGTTATCATCTACTTACTATACGAGATGGCAGAAATGAAAGATGCGCATGTCGTCGTGGAAATCCCAGTCGACGAAGAGCATCAACAGAAGAAGCAGATCGCCATCTCTTCTGCAATTCAGCACCATCCATTAATGGAGATCTCGCGAAGCCCAGGCCACCTCTTACTTCTCAAGCTTTGGCAACGAGAGGAGGAGCTCTTCGGCCGCAGAATCGCGGCCAAAGAGACAAGGCTGGATTTCATCAGACGCGAGATCTTCCAACTCTGCTGTTTCTTCTTCACGTTCCACGGATTTTTCTTCACCATATTGTTCACTTCCTATTCGGAAGACGGCGACGGCGCGTGCCGGAAGTGGTGGATCCCGTCGGCCGTGTCCGCCTGCACTTCACTTTTCATTGCTTTTCTTGTTCAGATGAAGCTTTGCAGGTTCTGGAAGATGTCGAGGCAGTTGCAGAGGGAGAGGAACGATAGCCGCGCGGTGACGAGGTGTATTCAGGAGCTGAGGATGAAGGGGGAGAGCTTCGATCTGTCGAAAGAGCCTCTTCAGATTGGGAAGAGGATGAAGAGTTCCAGTGTGGAGATCAAGTGGAGGCCTCTCACTTGCTGCTCTCAATACGCAGTAACCGTTTGCCTTGTTTGCTTTGCAGGTCTTCTCTTCCCAGCTTCAAGGTTCCTCGTCTGCGCTTGAAATCCCAAACCGGCAAACCCTAAGTCAACAACTTTTTGGAGCATTGAAATGAAATCATCCATTCGTTTTAAGGTAAATAATATACATTATTTCTATCATCTTTAAGCCATTTATATTATATTAGGTTATTTCATTAGTTTTTTTTTTTTTTAGATGGAATATCAACCATGGGAATGAAGCGTTCTTGGTCCGATTGTTCCTGTGAATAGGACACGCAAAGAGGGCAATGTCGCATTACATCTATGCGAGATACAAAAGCAAAACTACTTCAATCTCCAGCTTGAAAGTCAGATGTTCAATTCGATGCCAAAAAACCTCAATCTTTCAGATCGGTGGGTTGCCAAGTTCCTTCTTGTGGATGGTTATTGCAATTTTGCATCAATCTTGGAAAGAAGAATATTCTAGCTCTGCACCCACGACTCCAATTACCAACACTTCAGTTTTCAATTGGTGGGGCATTAAGATCAAGCAAACTACTTCAAAGAGTTGGCAAGCTGCTATATTTTACAAGAGCCACCACCTACTTCAACCTGCTACATTTACAAGTTGTCTATTTCCAAGGATTAAAACATTGTTCAAAGCTTTGCACCCACAACACAATCGGTGACAGGGTTTTGCATTTGTATCACTTGAGCAACAAATTATCAGCACTGCTTAATAAGCCCAAAGTAACACTACTTGTGTTAATTCAATTGTAATTGCCTCCTCAGACATCTTTTTACATTAATAAAAAGTATTCCTTTCACATTTTTGTGACGTGTCTCTCAATTAGCACAGTAGAAATAGCACTTGCAAACAGCAAATGGCCTTCTGTGCATGTTCAAGTACCCCACCACTAATTATGATGGGCAAAGGAACTTTGCTTGTTTTGTAGGTGTTGTTATGCACTCTCAAAGCCAAATATACGAAACACACCTGAAATAGAGTAGTACAAAAGTAAATTAGAGATCATACAGACAGGATTAGAGATTTAAATTTAGTATGTGAGAATCTATCTTTGCAGGGTGCAAACCTTCATCAGCTTGATACTTGTTTTTATCATCTCCAGCATGAGCAAGCAAGTTTAACTTTGGGTTCCACTCCACACTGTTCATTGCAGCACGACAGGGAATCTGGTGAACTGACCGCCCAGTCTGAACATTTGCCTGTTAAAAATAGGAAGCATCATTGAAGTGCTCAAGATTGAGTAACTAAAAATTTTTTTAAAGTGTGTCCAACACCAGAAAGGAGCACAAGATGATTCAAAAGTACTTACTATATCTATGAACAAATCCTCACTTGCAGAGGCAATGTATTCTCCTGTATGATTGAAACTTATTGTCCTAACTGGCCATCTGAGTATAAGAACAAGTAGATCATCAGACACCATGCCTATATGGACATAACAAGTTGAACCATTTGTTTTGAACAACTCACTCAAGTTTTGTAAATGTTCGAACACAGAGCATTTCCTTAATATCCCAAAGGCTGACTAAGGAATCAGCACTTCCAACAGCAAAATATCTGTTTAAAATAGTAACAAGTATTGATTGGCACAGGCATTTTCCAACCAGAAATAAGGAGAAGAAAATCCCATTCTGCAGAGAATAAATATATTAGACAAACCTTCCAAGTGGGTCAATTGCAATGCAATAACAACCAGCAGTGTGAGCCATAAGTGTGTCAAGAGGGCGCAGAGAAGGATATGATAGAACCTCCACCGTTCCTAAAGATAAGGGTAAAACAGAGAAAGTTCTAGGTTAATGGTAAACAGTTTGACATTAGCAATTATGGATTTATGAGCAAACCCCTTCTTGAACTAATGCCAAAAAAACTAATTGCCTTGATTGATGATTTGCTCTCACCATTCCCAGTAGTCAGAAAGAACATATCTCCAGTCATATTCCATGCAATCTCATTTACCTGAAACCAGGAAAAAAAATGAAATACCAAAGAAGATTTTACTCCAATCAAGAATTTCTTGAGGGCAACTAATAGAACAAGCATAAAAGGAAGTGCATTTTTTATGTCACACAATAAGAGCAATACATTGGTGTCATGTGAGGAATCCATGATTCACGAAGTCCTAAAAGAGTATACCTTGCTTTTGTTCTCTCAATCACAAGATGAAGGAAAAGATGTGTTGTGCAGATGAGCTCAGTAAATCAGTGCCATTAACATCCAAAATTCAGAGATTTAAGTAATTCAAGTGCTAACTCAGCAAAATAAGCTCAAGTTTTTATCATGTTTGATGCCTCTTTACAACACCTTTATCAACAAAATCAAATAAATCTTACAGTTATCTGTAATCAGCTTTTAAGAATCAACAAAATCAAATAAATCTTACAGTTAATCTGTAATCAGCTTTTAAGAAATTTCTGCAAGACGCAAGAAAATTATTACCTCATAGTTGAACTTCCGCTTATGCATAGCCTTAAACTTGCGAACATCCAATATTGTCAGTTCATCTTCCTGCCACATATCATAAATGAACCAGGAAGTTGCTAAACAGATAAGCTGGCTGTGTATGGGGTATAACTTTTTTCAATTATACATGTACAGATAAAACTATAAAAGCATTAATGGATAAGTGTGTGTGAAAGGCAAGCTATTTGACAGCAGAAGCAAATGTGAGAAAGATCACAAGTAATGAACTGAAGACATGATTTAGTAAAAGCATTACCCTGTTGCCAACAGCTATATGAGTCCCATCGGGTTTATAAGTGATATTGATATTCTCCCCACTTAATTCAACTTGCTGTGAGCATTTGCCACCTGCCAATCACAAAGCAAGTATGTGTGAGCATCTCACACAATATCTCTGCCCACATCAGAAGAGTTTATTTTACTCTGGAGAATGAACTACAAGTGTTCTCATGTATCAGCTAATATAAATATCTGTTGATTTTAGTTCTCTTTTATGAGATGATAAGCTCATTACAAACCTAAAATCAGCTGCCCCTAATTTTCAAACCACAGAACCCTCTAAAAATAAATTTAAGACAAGTTTTCCATCTCTTAAAGTGACACCTAGATGAGGCAAGTAGTAGAACATAAACTTACTGCGAGCATCCCACAATCGAACTGTCTTGTCACCCGATGCTGTTGCAATCAACTCAGCATGCTTGGGGTCCCAACATAATTGGTCCACACTGTCTGAATGGCCTTTTAGTTCAATATCTTTTGCCTTTCCCTGCAAAATTACTTCAAGTAGCTAGGAAAGGGAATAGAAAAGGTACTTGATAGAAGCCCCCCAGCTATATACTATACCATTCAAGAAAACTTATAAAGATTTTGTAGCGCTTGTTTTACACCTTAAATACCAAAAAACATAACATGATGATAATCACCAGTTTTTTGGTGAATAAAGTCTAATGTTACATGACTGTTGTAAATTACAAAGCCAATATAGTTCACCCAAAACAGTCAATTAATGTACAAATGTACAATTCAAATTTCAGATAAGAGAAATGAAAATGAAAGCAAAAGTTATTTGGTTTTCCATTTTGCCAATTCTCCTTTGAATCAAACAATTCTAATGCAACTAGCAATTCTGTTTATAGGTATTCAAAGAAGGAAAGAAAAAGAAAAAATTAAAATTAAATATAAAACACTTTTAAAAATCCAAATAGTCAAAAGATTTAACTTTACCAGATGGATATTTAATAATTTAAATATAAATAGGACTAAGATTAGGGCTCCAGTCAAAGGACTTAACTTTACCACTTGAACATTGAAATAAAAGGGTAAAAGTATCTCTAAAAAGTCCATATACTATACAATTTAATTCAATTTAGTCTTTGTATTTGTAGTTTGGTCAATTGGTCCTCTATACTTCTGAAATTGAAAAAATTATTTGCAAAGACTGGCCACATTAACCCAGGCAATTAGCAATGCAAACGTTGTTAGTTACATAGCACTAACATGTCAAGATCTATAGCCATTACAGCTTTTAATAGATGCTTAATATCTATATAAATTAAATTAAATTAAAATTAAAATAGGAAAGCCACTCCCTCAATGTTGCCAAATTTGGTGTCTATACTTTTGAAATTAATATAGTTAGAATATAATAGACTAACCAGATTAACCTAAGGCATTACATTAACAATGCAAACATGTTAGTGATAATATGTCAATATCTATTGCATTGTCAGCTTTTCTATATTTTTAATTTTTTATAAAAATTAAAGTACAATAAAATAAAAATAGGAAAACCCCTTCTCTCAATGTTGCCACCTCTTCAGCTCATCCACCACCACCTCTACAAATCATCCACAAAAGACACCAAGTGAACCCACCTTTCACCTTCATTGAAGGTGCATAATTGCAGATTCTCCAATCAAGCCTGTTTCCATTTAAAACAAAATTTAAAAAGAAAAAATGGATAAATCTTGAGTGTAGACTATCAAAAAGAGAAGGGAAAGAAGAAAGAGGCATTGTTTCCCATCATGAAGTTTCTATAGAGCCCTGAATCCTGATGGTGTGCATACTCTAGCCATAGGTTAAGTGAGAAAGGTGATTTAAACTTCGAATCAATGAGGCTCTTGCCCTAGCCCTAATTCTAGCTAGAGAACCCAATGCCTGAGAAATCATGACCAGATTAAGAAGAAACATTTTTCTTCTTTTATTCTGTTAGCTTTTGTCATTAATTTTATCCATTCCAAAAGTACTTTTGGAATGGATAAAATAGAGTTTCAAAAGTGAATGCTACGTCGTTTACACGAAAGCATTGGTTAATGACTTGGGTTAACATTGTTAGCTTTTGTCATTGGGGGTGTTTGGTAAATAGCTGTTAGCTAATTGAGTTAGTGGTTTGACTAGTTGATAGCATTAGCTGATTGTAGAAAGATATTTGGTAAATTAGCCTAATAGCCGATTACATGCAAAATGACTTTCTCAAAAAGCTTAGAAAAAGATGTTTTGAGCAGCTTTTTGAATTTTAGCGTTCTGGAGCAATAAGCTGTTACAAAAACCTAATTAATCAAACACTCATATTGGTTGTTTAACCAAGTCAAACAAGTCAAAATTGTCTTATAAGCTAACTATGTTACCAAACAGGGCCATTAATTTTATCCATTCCAAAAGTACAAGGACCAATTTGAAAAAAAATAGGGCATCAGAACTAAACTGAATAAAATTGTATAGTACAGTAAACTTCCAGATATTTTTATCAAATAAAAGCATTTCTCCTTCTATAAACCAGATCAAGGTAGATAATGAGCTTAGCCAAATTTACGGGATAAATAAAACAGATGTATTTAGCAGAACTGCATATAGAACAGAAAAACTTGAATTTTTTTATAATCTCAAATGAAAGTTTACAGGAATGAAAAGTTCATGAATACGAAAATAGTGTGTTGATTTGACGAAACAAACTTGACAACACCATTAATCAAACAATATTTTAGGTACTAAACAAATAGAGAGATGCATTAAAGGTAATGAAATATATAAGGAGAAAGCTTACATGACCATGGGGCTCAATATGCCATATGCGAGCAGTTTGATCAACGGAGCCTGAGGCTAGTTTCGTACCATTGCAATTCCATGCTACTGAATGAACCTTTTGATTTCACAAAAACATAGGAAAAAAAAAAGGAGACAGAGAGAGAGCGTTTTTAGTATTGAAACAAATTGGACGCATAAAAATTCAGAAGAAAAAGAAAAAGGTATTTAGTTAGGGTTTCTGAAAGAGGGATATGTGTAAATGACAATGAAGAAACACAACTCAGTACCTTCTTCTTGTGGCCTTGATATTCTCTGGTATGGAGGTTTTTGAAGGGTATTGATTCCGCCATTCTCACGTATCAGCTCTGCTGCGGCTCCGCTATTCTCTTCCCGCTCTGATTTTTTGGCGTCAAAACTCAAAACTGAGGCAGCTCAAGAGCGGTGTTACAACTTACAGCTTAGAAGTGCAGTAAAATATGATATCCAAATGTTATTTTAATACTCCGTATTTGGATGATTCTTTTCTTTTCTTTTGTTTTTTTTACTCGATATCTCAATTGACTAATAATTTGAATAGAAAGAGAGAGAGAAAAAAATACAACAAATTAATAATTCAAAAAATGAATAAGGTTAAAATTGATGCAATTAGGTCACTTAAACGAAAAATAATGCAATTAGATCACGGAACACTTCAAATGTATGTAATCACTTCAAATGTATGTAATTTCATCTGATAGTAGATTATTATCAATTTTAGTAAATTATTACATACTTACGTGGTAGTTGAGTGGGCATTTTTAATAATTTTTAAATAATTTTTAATAAATTTAATAATAATTTTTTTATTAAAAAAAAACGACGGGGTGCGAAAGGGGTGCCACCTCGTCGTTTTTTATATTTTATTATTTAATTTTTTCAATTTTTAAAATTTATTATTAAAAATTATTTTAAAATGTCAACTCAGCTGCCACTTAAACAGGTAACCTGCTACCCGATTAAATTGCATACATTTGGAGTGTTGAATGATCTAATTACACGTTTTTTAAGTGTTCAGTGGCCTATTTGACCGCATTTTCTAAACTTTAATTTATTTATCTCAAGTAATAATATTAGTTTTGGAAATAAATAAATTTGTAGTATTTTATAAATGAAATGAAATAATTAAATTTAAGAAAAAAAAATATAGTTTAGGCCATTTTCTAAGTTAGGGTCTGTTTGGAAGTTCGAAAAATGACTTCCGAAAGTCATTTTTTTTCAAATTTTTCAGTGTGTGGTTACTCAATGAAAATGAAGTCAAAGAAAAATATTCATTATGGTCAATGTAAAAAGAATTCAATTTGGTGAAAAAATATCTTCCTAGTTTTTTAGCCGAAAGACCTTTTTCGGATTCTTTGAACCTATTTATTAACTGCAAATTTTTCTTCAGTTTTCTATAGAAAAAAAAAAAAAAAAAAACTGAATAATTAGATAATATAAAACATAAAACATGTTTACTGACACAATTGTCCATTTTGACAACTCAAAACATTTTTCAGTTTTCTATACAAATTGAAGAACTTTTTAAAATATGTTTAACATAATCACCTATCATATGTTTTGTTATATATTACTATAACCACATTCTTGCCATTATCTACTCACATATTTATTCATTATTACGATTACATTCATTACCATATTCTTTTCATTATCACCATATTCTATCTTTTATACTCGCATTTACGTATATAAATATAGGGATGCACTCAGGTGCGAATAAGTGCTCAGGAGGGAAATGTGAACGAATCAGCGCGCGACACGTGTCCAAATCTAATAACTTAAAAAAAACGCAGTGGCATTTTCGTAAATAATTGAACATCGAAGTACAAGTAAAATCACTTACAAATGCACCTACTTTCACCTATAATTGCATGTAATTTTGCCTTGTTAGCATTCACTTTCCGCAAACATTCATGCACCTGGATGTGGTTATAACTATATGTGCAACTATTTATAACTATAGGTGCAACTACTTATAACTATATGTGCACCTACTTTCACCTATAAGTGCATGTAATTTTGCCTTGTTAGCATTAACTTTCCGCAAACATTCATGCACCTAGGTGTGCTTATAACTATGTGTGCAACTATTTATAACTATAGGTGCAACTACTTATAACTATAGGTGCACATACTTTCACCTATAAGTGCATGTAATTTTGCCTTGTTAACATTCATTGATCTGAGTTCAGCGGGTAGTAATACCCATGAAAACCACTCGCAAACATTCATACACCTAGGTGCAACTACTTATAACTATGTGTGCAACTACTTAGAACTATAGGTGCAACTAAGTATTGATGCTCAATGTAAATTTTTACTTGCACCTATAATACATTTTACATGCACTTGTAATACATTTTACTTGCACTTCGATGTTCAATTATTTACGAAAATGCCACCGTGTTTTTTAAAAAAATCAGTGTTTCTCATCCATTAGATCTGGACACATGGACGAACAGAATTCATTCCTATTTCGCGCCTAGGCGAAGCATTCGCACCTGAGTGCGATTCTATAAATATAAATATAATATATTAGCTTACGCTTAAAGCTAGACATTATTCACATTATCAAAATTAAAACGTGAAATCTACACCACGTTTTATATGTTGATTGAACTAATTATATTATTGGTTCAGATATTTTTTAGCTATGTTATATCGTAATACAAGTTTGGTCCGGATATTTGATATTGAAATTTCACATATATCATACATCAAAGTAAAAATTAAATGTATACAAGTCATTCAAATCTTCTATTATAATATAGCAGAAACTATAGTTCCCGCCAAAAGTAATAAAAAAAATAAAAAATAAATAAAATAATATATATTGAATTGAATATATTGAATTAACAAATGCAATGTCGTGTCTATTCAGAATCCAAGTCTGTTATAAAATAATAATAATAATAAAATTGAATATATTGGATTAACAAATGCAATGCCGCGTCTATTTAGAATCCAAGTCAGTTCAGAATTCAAATCAATTCAAGTCTGTTCAATGAAGAATTAAACAAATACATTAAAGAATTAAATACATTGTTGATACAAAATTAAATTCTTCAATGCCTTTTTCAAAAAAAATTCTTCAATGCCTATGTCTGTTCAGACTCCACGTCTGTTCAGAATTCATCAAATCAAATCAAATACATACATACATAAAAATAAGGATACAACTTTTGGGATTACTAACGTAAATATGGAACAATTTGATTCCTTAACAATTCTATAAATAGTGAATTACAGGCCTATGCATTCAACCACACGTTGCTGAACAACAAGTAATATCTCTCATCTCTCATACAGTATGTATCCAATGTATGTTCTTGGAAGTGATATCTCACCCTTCAATGTTACGAGTGCAATGAAGGTTCGCGTTATTCGTGCATACAATGTATCGGAGAGGACAGGAAGCAATGCAATCAGATGCAAGGAAATTGTGTTTCATGATTCTGAGGTGATAACAGATGCAAGGAAATCAATGCAATCTCATATTGAATATAACACTGTTTAATTTCAATATTTATATATTTATTTAAATTTCAATATTTATATATTTATATATATATATATATATATATATATATATATATATATATATATATATATATATATATATATGCAGGGAACATTGGTACATGCCCACATCCCAAAACAATTGGTTCCAAAATTCATTAACAATTTTAAGGAAGGTTCAGTTTGGGCTGTTAAGAATTTCTTAGTCATCAACAACTTCTACACGTACAGGACAACCCCTCACAAGTACATGATCAAGTTCAATTACCAGACTATAGCTAAGCAATTCAAAAGAATTGAGTTTCCAAGTCAGATGTTCCGTCTCACACCATTTGAGGCTCTAAAAGTTGAAGGTGTTAATGATAAGCTGTTGGTTGGTACGTATATTATGTTGAAATTACCTTTTTTTTTAAAAAAAAATTATTTTTATTTTCCAGTGTGTTAAATTTTGTTTTAAATTTCATTACAGATGTAATTGGAAAAGTGGCTGAAATATACTCACCTCAAGAAAAAATGATTTCTGGGAGAACAACTCGGCTTATAGACTTTATCATTGAGGATTTAAGGTAATTATTTAATATATATATATATTTAAATCTGTATTATATATCAACTCAGGAAAAAATGATTTCCTGGAGAACAACTTGGCTTATAGCCTTTATCATTGAGGATTTAAGGTAATTATTTAATATATATTTAAATTAAGAAAGTCAAGTTGCTAATGAGATAATGTTAAGGGAAAAGGGAGACCAAATCTTAGTCTGGTCATGATTGGTTGGATCAATCACCATGCCTGGTGGAAAATTAAGGCATCAATTTATTATAGGTTTATCACCACTAAAAATCATTTCATGATAATATTATATCAACTTGAAAAGAAGTAGGATGTGCAATGGTGAAAGAGTAACGGAACCAGTGATCTCAACAGTTAAACAAAGGCACTCAAATGGAGACTTACAGTAAGAGGATTGCCCAAAGGGTTCCCAGTCTGTGGATCCCAGCATATAAGCTCCCCAATTTTACTTATCAATTATTAAATCTATATCTATATATAAAGTTGGGTACTTATTTATTTTTTGGTATTAAAAGTTTGAGAAATCTAATTTCCCTCAACTTTTACAGTGGAAATCAGATTAGGTGTACTCTATGGGATGATCATGTTGGTAAGATTGAGCCATTTTTTAATGCAAGTAGTCATGAACCAATGGTGGTGATCTTGCAGTTCTGTCGAATTAGGAGAGATGCCACGAGTAAGTACATATATACTTATATATACACTATTCTGTGTAAAATATGTGTAACATTTGTTAAATGTCTAGATGGCGAGGTGAGGCTTTGCAGCTCATATGATGTGACACAAGTCCTTATTAACCAGCAATCTAAAGAGTTTTTGGAGTTTAGGGAGAGGTAAAAGTAATTTATTTTTAAGTATTGTACTATTTTTTTAAAAAAAAATTGTTTCTTATGACTTTACTATTTTTAGTTTAATTCTTCGTGGTGTGCAAACACCCATGAGGAGCATTGAATCCTTTCCAATGATGGAGCAGACCCAATGTAATGCTCAAGATATGAAAACTATCAGTGAAATTTACCAAACCAGAGAGGTAATTGGTTTGTGTTGTATAATAATAAAAATCTACTGTATTAGGTTTTAAAATATATAAAAACCTAATACAGTAGAGCCACAAATGGTGTGAGATTATAGCAACTATCCATGCAGTACTTATATGCATTTTACAACTTTTTATGCTATAGTATGGGGACTACTGGGTTGCAGCTAGGATAGTTGCTATAGAGGATTCTGTCAATTGGTATTACAGTTCATGTAGAGCTTCTGGCTGTAACAAGAAGCTTGAGTCAAAAGGTGGGCTATATTACTGTACAAAGTGTGAAAAGA